AGCTGCTGGGAGAATGACAGTAAGTTTTCTTTAAGGGTGTGATGCCCGGCAGGTTGACCAGACTCCAAAGGATGGATTCATATCCAAGAGCACTTGGGCAACACAAATTAGACATGAAAAACCTTAAAAAAATTAAAAAAAATAATAGAGGACATGAAGTTGGGGGTTACTAGGGTGGAGTTGGAGATGGAGGAGGGCGTCTGAATGTGATCAAAATACATTGCAAGAAATTCTCTGTTTTTATTGATTCTTATCAATAAAAACATTTTCAAAAAAAAAAAAGAGAAGGGAATTAGGTAAGATCTATGTAACTATTAGGAAACAATCCCTTCATCCCAGAACCTTTTTACATCACTGAACTCCATGATCTTATTGTACAAGTAAGATTTTGGAGGATTCTTGTCTAAAGGAACTCTATAATTTCAGATATTTGTGTTCCAATAACAAAGTTAGCCAGATTCTTACTTAAATACCTGACATGAAAAGACTCAGCTGCTGCCCTACATGCAAATAAACATTTTTACTGTATTACTTTTAAATGATAACAGAGAAACTACAGACTTATAAAGAATTTCTACAATATAAAAATCAGATCAAAACAAACAAATTTGGAAGAAAACAGTGCAGAAAGTTCAACATATTTATTCTTATCCTTAGTGAAGTAAGAATAGATGTGCATCAAAGGACCTAGAACAACCCACTATTTTTTTAAAAGGAAGAAGAAACAATCTGAATGAGAAAGTTATCAAAACATTTAAATAAAGCAGAAATGAACATGTTTGTAATAGTAACTCAGGAAAAGCTCTCCTATAATAAAACACAAAGATGCAAAATCAGATCTTAAAGTAAGAAAATAAAGAAATTAAGAGGATCCCAAAATCTAACAGAAATAGAAGAATGAAATAAAATTATCAGAAAGAAGGAAATAATAAAGGAAAATTCCCCCCCAAAAGTAGAAGATGTTTCCCCATTTAAAAAGCCCACTGAGGACTCACAGAGTGAATTGAGGAGAGTTGTACCAAGACATACCATTGTAAATTTCAAAACGTCAATGATAAATTGCTGGTCATAAAGATGTCAAGAAATAAGAGGTCATGTGTAAGGTGTCAAGAATTACATATCAGTTTTGTTAATAATAGCTCTGCAAACTGACTAGCAAAAAACAACACAAGTCTTTCAAATTCAGAGGAGACAATAAAGACTGCAATTCTGTATTCTCTTAAACTACCGATAAATGCAAGGGGGGAAAAGACATCTCAGAAATGCAATGTTCCAGAAGCTAGACCAGCCCAGAATATGTCCTGAGGAGACAATGGGAACATACACTCCACATAAAGAGGGAAATGGACTATGAAAACAGAGGTGAGTTCAAAGCAAGTGGATCTTACATGGATGAGAAATGTCAATGGTTCAGGAAACATACGAAACAAGTAGTAAATTACGAATATTTAACAAAAAATATGGAATTATAGTGAGATGATAGGAGGGGAGGAATTAGCATAATCTAAAGTATTAAATCCTCCTAATCAATAATAGAAACTCAACAAAATATTTAAGAATATTAGTAAGAAAACAAAGATTAAATCCAAAAGATGCCAACAGAGTTCGGGCAGTCTCAGGTGTAGGTAAAGGCAAAACTTTGTTTTCCTATGCAACTTGACCTTTAAGACATGAATGACTTTGATACTTGTTTTAAATCTTTAAAAACCTCCTAAATGCAGAGATACTTTTGAGAGGTCTAACCCAAGTCTCTGCTCAGAGATTCAACCATATTAAGGTTGAAAATAATATTTATGATCACTATAAAAACATTAATTCTTTGATAATGTTTTTAATGATTTTTATTTATGTGTGTGTGTGTGTGTGTGTGTGTGTGTGTGTGTGTGTGTGTGTGATGTGTAAACAATGCCATGGAGGCCAGAAGAACATGTCAGATCCCCTGGAACTGGAGTTACAGATGATTGTGAGCTGTCATGTGGGTGCTGGGAACAGAATCTGGGTCCTCTGCAAGGGCAGCAAGGGCTCTAAATGGCTATGCCATCTCTCCAGGCCTTGATAACGTTTCTCTAATCTTCTGATTGGCGGTTTCCTATTCCATCATACCAATTTAACTTAAGTTGTTTGAAAGAAGTACTTTGAGGATTCTGATAACATATCTTTGAGGATATTCCATTTTCTAGCATCTGAGAGGTTTTTTAAAGGGTTTTCCTTTTTGTTAAAAAGCTTACAAGAAATTTTGTGGTTATAATATAAAGTTATTATGTGTGTCCCGATATAAAAGAATACATTTCATATTGCATAAACAAAAAACTACTAATATTCATTTGCCTATGTTTTCCCTTACCTGGACTCCTAATACTTTGATAATGACATATTCTGTAAATTATTAAACTTATAAGACAAATGGCTAGCAACTGTGAAACTAGCAGGCATGTAGAGAAGAGTTCTATTTCCACAGACCTCAATGTGAGACTCTTCTGTGTACATCTGGACTGCCACATACATCTGGTCCTCGGTTTCTTCATGAATAATGCCTGCTCGGCAGGCTCATAATAAAGACAGAAAAACTATGTGTAAAGTCCAGCAAAGGACACAACCCCAAATGCATGTGAAAGTCCATCTGCTGTGTTCCTTCCCATTTCCCTTTGTCCCTGGAGGCACAATGCCAAAGGATTTACAGACTTGTCAGGCAATAACCTTTGAAGTAGTCCTCTGTTTTCCTCAATCTTGGTTCAGCAATTCTATCATGAGGATAATTTCAAAAGCCTGCGATTAAACAGTCGTGAAGAAAATGCATATACTACTAGTACAGTGACTGGTGCACAGTAAGAAACAACAGCAGTAATAATACAAATAACAATAAATTAGAAGATCATGTTTCTCTCTTCTTCATGCCTAGTAAAGCAAAAAGAAGTAACAGAAATGGCTTGGTCAAGAGCAGTGTTTCCTAAGACTGGAGAGATGGCTCAGCAGTTAAGGGCACTTGCTGCTATTGCAGAGGACCTGAGTTTGGTTTCCAGCATCCAGGTCTAGCACTCATAATCACCTGTGACTCCAGCTCCAGAGGATCCAATACCCTCTTCTGAATTCCACAGGCACTGCACACGAGGGAGGCACATACATACATTCATAATTTTTAAAAAGATGATTTTTTTAAAAAATAGCATTTCCTAAAGCTACATGTGACATGTTGCTTCATTCCCCATAAAGAAGAATTAATTAATGCTTTTTCAAGAAACATTTTACACTCATTTATGTGATACTTGGCAGAAGAGGTAAAGTTATCTCGCAGTATCTGTGAGGAATTCCAGAGCCTTCTGGCTATAAAAATCTACAAGGTTGCAAGTCCCTCGTATATAATGTAGTGTTTACATAGAACCTGTGTACATCTTCCAGCCTACTTTCACCCCACCATTCTTATTTGTGGTATTATAATCTTTAGAAAATAACAAGGGAAAAGTAAAGCCTGTATGTGTTTTATGTGAATGAACTCTTTGGAATGTTTTAAATCTATTCTTGGTTGAATCCACAGATACAGAGGGCTGACTCTGTGTGTGTCCATCTACCCATTAATTTGATCCATTTGCTAGAAGGCCTTCCCTTCCTTTGAATCCTTTCTCTTCCCTACATACATTTCATTTGGCATTTCTTTACTTGTTCTTTTCATTCTGTTGTTTGGTTAATTGACTCAATTGACAAGTGGCTTGCTGAATTGATCATTTCATTGAAAAGCTGGTTATATCGCAAGTAAAAAGGAGCAGCTGCATACAGCCGTGCTGCATAGAAGCCAGAGGAGAAAAAACCCCACCCTGGGGCCACGTTGATGAAAGCTAAGTCCAGTATACTTCCAGGATTTTTGCAATTTCTTCTGAGCCTTTGACAAAGATACTTTTTTTCATTTTGAAGCCAGAGATGCTATTGTGTTTATATGTTAGTCTTTGGATATGAGATATTTCTTGGGAAATAGATACCTTAAGATGTTTAATAAAGGAATAAAGTAGGATACACAAGGACTTCTGAGTCTTATTAAATTATATTATTAGAACAATAAACTAGCTTGCAAAAATGAAACACTATTTTCTAGACCATTCCATTTGAATTAAATAGCAGTCCAAGCCCACTAATATGCAAATTTTGTTTCTCGATGATGCAAATCCAGATGGAACATTTATTACATGCTTGTGTTGTTTCAAGAAGTGCAAAGGTAATTCAGTTACAGTTTGCCACCCCCAAGAACTCCCACTTAAAATGAAGTCATAAGCAGAGCCTTTTTACTCTACAAAACTTCCTTTTTATAGAGAGTTTGCTTAAAAATGTAAGCAATTTCACAGATGGAAGATCTGAGTAATTTCTCAAAGGTCATAATTTCCCTCCAAAATTGATTTCTTGACCCTCATATTTTCCTGATACTGGGTGGAAATTTTTTATTATTGTTTAACACTGAATTTAAGATTATGATGACTTGGAAATCATGTGCCTTTTGCTGCTAGAAGTAGAAATTTTATTTTGAGACAGGGTCTCATGTAGCCCAGACTGGCTTCCAACTTGATGTGCAGTTAAGGCTGTTGATGGCTAATCTTGATTGTCAATTTGATGGGATTTAGAATCACCATGAAAAAAAACCTTTGGATACATCTGTGAGATGCTTTCTAGATTGAGGTAACTGAGGTAGGAAGATCTAACCTAAATGTGGACAGCACCATTCCACTGGGCAGGGATCTTGAACTGAGTCAAAGGGAGAATGCCCGCTGCCTGAGCACTAGTACTCAGATACAATGCCATCAACTACTTCCAGCAATTGCCACCCTCCCTTCCCTGCCATGATGGGCTGTGCCCTCCAACTGTGAACAAAATTAACACTTCACTTCCTTCTTCAGTTGGATTTGCCAGGAATTTTGTCACAGTAATTAACTGATATTTCTATCATCTCCCACGTGCTGGGATTGCAGGCTTGCACCACCATACTCAGCTTAAAACAAGTAACAAGATCACTTCCTTACCTTGTCCTTGTGCATGAACAGTAATCCAAGCCACACATAGTACAATAAAGTGAAGAAGCAGTTTCCTAAGGAAAGAGAAAAGACCACTTGTTGGACATTTACAACTAATAAACCACAAAAATCGTAACTCGGGAGGCTGTGGTGGGGTTTAAGAATTTGCATTTCTAATGAATTCCGGAGTGATGCTGATACTGTGGAGTAGGACAACTCTGATGCCCACTGCTTTCCAACAAGTGATGTTTAAGGATGATGAAAGTCTCACCTAGTTTGAATAGTGCTTTGTTTTGTTTTTACCTTGGTGGCACATAAGAGTCACTTTCAGCGTTTAACAACTGCTAATACTTGGGTCCTTCTCTCCCCTCCCACAAAGATTCTGATTTTGGTTTGTCCCTGATTTGAGAGAGAGAGAGAGAGAGAGAGAGAGAGAGAGAGAGAGAGAGAAGAGATATTAGGTGTCTTTATCTGTTACTGTAATCCTTAATTTTGGAGACAGGGTCTCTCACTGCCCTCTAGTTCACTGATTTGGCTAGACCGACTGGCCAGTAAGTCCCACCTCCCTTCCAGAGATCCTCTGTCTCCTCAGCACTAAGATTATAGTCACATGCTACTGTACCCAGCTATTTTTTCAGTGCATGTTAAAGATCAAACCCAGGTTTTCATGCTTGCACAGCAAGTACTTTATGGACTAAGCCATCTCCCCAGCCCTGTATTAAAAATAATACTTTTAATTGATTTTTTTGTCATTTTTGTACCATATAGTTTGATGGTATTTAGGTCCCCTATTCATAGCTCCCCTTATTGCTCCCAAGTTTAATGTACTCTATTATATATATGACCTATGAGTCTAATTTATGTACCCAAATGTCCTTCAGTGTAGGTCCATCCACTGGAACCTGGTTAACCTACCAACAGTCCCATCCTTGAAAGAGACTGCCTCACCTCCTCCCAGTAGTCATAGATTGTAAAAATTTCCTTAGGTTGGGTTGGGGTTTCTTACCTACTTTCCTGTGTCTATACTGGGATTTTATCTGGTTTGAGCTTGCATGGGACTTGTGCATGCTGTCACCATTTTTTTTTTTTAAATTTTTAACCAGCCCTGCATTTTTAAACACTTACCAGGTGAGTCAAATGTGCAAATAAGGTTGAGTACCATTATGTGAGAGTAAGTGGTTTCTGTACATGACAGAAGTCAATATACTTAGACATTTAATAAAATTGGACAAGTCTAAAAGAATTCAATATTATAGTAGCAAATAATCCATAAAGATTCAAAAACTGCAACCCATAATATCTAGGATGTTGAACAAAATATGCAATATTGTATGGATTTGGTCTGCTCACCTCACATGACATCACATGTAATCAGTCATGTTCAAAACATAATCAGACAAGCCAAAGTGAAGGCCTAAAGGAGATCAGGTGGAAAAATAGGTCTCCAACGATCATACTTAGAACATCTGTGGAACTAATTTCTGTCCCAACACTCTTATGTAGTTGAGTCTCAAGGAGCTATTAATTTTCTCTTTATCATAAGGGTCTAGGCTCTTTAAGGGAATGTCAGAGATCTCCGTTTAGGGTAGCTATGAGAGCCTTAGAATTTATGGTATCTGTCTTCAGGCTACCGATGCTCATCAGAGACGAGATGCAGAGATACAGTTTACAATAGCAAGAAAGACCTGCTATAAACTTTTGTGATTAGAAAACTTTATTAGTTGATGGCTTTCTTTTAAACCAACAGAAAAGCGTGAACTAAACTAAGAAACTCATATAACATACATCAAATATTTCAACAGTTTCTTCTACACTAGGTTTATATGCCAAAAACTTCTTTGTTCTGACAGCTTTATAGATTCTGCTTTTTACTCACAGCTAAGATCCAGAAATAGTTTTTAAAATGTCCTCCCTCTCACCCTTGCAAAGTAACTGGGGAAAGTTTTTATCTCAGCAATGGAAATAAAATCAGATTGAGGAGTAACACTGCCACTACCTTATCTGCAGCTAAATTTCTCAGATTGCCAATTGAACTTGATAGATAGGATCTATATAACTAATCCAATTTCCAGGTGTTTGAGCAATTCACAAGCACAGGGAAAGAAATACATAAGGACTTACTTCAAGTAATCAAAGAGTCTAGATTCCAGTCTGTAGAAGGAAAGAAAACCACACCTGGTCATCCTAGTAGTACACAGAAATGGTTAAACAGGATTCTTGTTTAACCTAGCAAAGTTCCTGGCATATGTCAGTGTTAAAATTTCTTTGACTATGTGAATGAATGAATCAACCTTCAGCCAGTAAGACCAACCAACAGATGGTTCTGACTTGCAACAAACAGATAAGCTTTGCAGCCCCAGCTGGCCTGAAACCAACTATGTAGTCCAGGCTGGCCTCGATTTCACAAAGATCTGCCTGCCTCTGCCTCTGGAGCATTGAGATGAAAGGTGGGTGCTACCACACCCAGCTTTGTAACATCTTCATGCTGATCCCAGGATCAAGAAAGTCAGGTACTCCTGCCCTCTTTTCCTCCTTTTCCAGCTAAGAACGCTGGAAAGGTCGAAAGGCCTTTCATTCTTCTCTCTACAACTCCAGCTCCAGCTACTGTGTGCTTCCCCTAACTTCATTTCCTGAAGGTGCGCTGTTCCATCTCAGAGCTGGTAATGGACCTCCATATGGAAAATTACATGTTAGGGCAGCAACTGTGTCTTTTTCAACGACTGCATCTTGACTGCCTGGGGCCATGTTGGGCTCTCCACAGTTGATGGTCACTAAATATTTTTTGAAGAAATGAATGAATGACAGAATAATGTTAGACTATTATAAGAGAAAAATGAAGTGGCCTTTATTTCACCTGTCACTCAGACCTATGAATCCTAAATCATAGTTGCAAGACATAGTTCACAAAGAAACCAGCGTCAACATTCTAATTCCTGTGATAGAATTTCTCCTGCAGCTTCACAGATTACCAAGAAAAATGTCTAAGCAACACTCAAAATCACTTTTCATACGTTGTACTTCCTCTCCCTAAGGCTTCCATTTCTTTTTTTAATATTTTATTTATTATCTTTATTTTATGTATTTTAGTGTATTGCTTGGAAGTAGGTAGGTGAACCTGTGTCACACAATGGCCCCAGAGGTCAGAAGAGGGTATCGGATCCCCTGGAACTGCAGTTATGGACAGTTGTTAACTGCCGTATGGGTGCTGGGAATCAAACCCGGATCCTCTGCAAGAGCAGTCAGTGCTCTTAACCACTGAGCCATCTCTCTAGCCCCAGCATACATTTATTTTAAACATTTACTCGAGTGCACAGATAACTAAGCAACGTCAGGAAACAGAATTTCATACCAACTAGAAATATCACTATAAACCTTTTAATTACCATAATAATCTCAGGAGACTTTCTAATGATAGGTTGTTGGTTGGTTTGCTTGTTGTCTTTGACACTGTGTTTCCAGCATCACAGGCCATCAGGATGAGCTTGAACTTCTGATCCTCCTACCGCTACTGCCTGGATTACAAGCTGGTGCCAGACACTGCCATCAGGTTTATGTGGTGCTGGAGATCAAACCTCCAGCTCCATGCATGCTAGACAAGCAGTCTAACACCTGATCTAGATTCCCACCCCTGGCAATATGTTAAATGGACATATCCCACACCTGCTTTCAGGTTTTAGGTTTATTTTAGTAATTCCACAAAGTCACACCACATATTCTATTTTCAAAGTAACTCTGTGAAAGTAAATGTCTGTATGGATCCAATTTTAAAACTATAAATGTTTTTGGGTGACTAACCAGATCTACGATTTTTAAAAGCTGCCCCTGGTCTTTGAGAATGTCAGCACAAAAAAGATGGTGGAAATCTCCAGGTTTCATTAGGGACTCTTAAAGTTTAATTCAGTGGTCTGGCATTAGCATCAGCTCATCAGCAGCTTCTCCCAGGCCAACCTACCCCCTCCCCATTTCCCATGGGCTGGTGACACTATCAAATTAAAGAATTCTGAATTCTTTAAGTTTTTTGTTTTGTTTTGTTTTCTGTTTTTGTTTTTATAGAAACAAATTCTCGGCCCAACCCTTAAATACACCCCCCCACCCCACTTTGCATGTGTGTGGTTGGAGCTGTGAGTTCCTGCAATCTGGTTAATTATGAATTACCCTTAATAAACTATAGCAAGTGCGAGTCACAACAGGCTCCAGTAATAGAACAAGTTGGACATCATGGAATATTCATAGTCGACCAGGCTCCTGACCCCTGGCCAGGAGGTCTCCAACCACATCAGGAAAGACCAGCAACTTCACCCAGGACTCCTTTCTTCTTAAGAGGTTATACCCGCCCCCATCCCCGTGGTGTCATTTCATCAGAAGTTCCACCGGTGTAATCTTATTTATTTTCTTTGTCCCCGCCCCGGCCGCTCAATCATCTGGACTCAATTTACAAATCCCAAAGTGCCCAAGAATTTATGCAGGGCCCGTTCTGGGAACGTCTGGAAGGGACTTGTAAGTCAGACAAGACAGGGGCCAGGAGCAGATCTACTTGAACCTACCGGGTCGGTCTTTGCCACCATGGGAAGTATTAGCGACTTAGGCCAGGTGCAGGGTGCAGTGGCTGGGGGAGGGGGTAGCCCTCGCAGTGGGAGTGGGCAAGGACTGCAACCCTTGGATGCTGAGTAGGAGTGAGGACCGCTCCTCGACTCTCCTCCAGGCTTGGCGCCTGCAGAGGATTAAAAGTCTGAATACAGGCGGGAAATCCCAAGAATGTGTGATGCACTCCGTAACCTAAAATTCTGTACATCCCACCCCACTCCCGTCTAGCTTCTTTGGAAGGTCCATCCAGAGTGATGTTGCGGGATCAAGAACCCCGTGGGATATGACCGGGGAAGGAGGCCGGCAGAGCTTCTCACCCCCGGGCTCTTGGGCTCCCAGCTCCTTGACACACTCACGCACTAAGTTAGAAGTTTCTGGCTTTCCTTTGACTCCTAGAGAAAGGGATGCGAGGCGAAGTGCATCTTGCTCTGCCGCAGGGAGGCTCTACAGAGGTTGCTGGGGTTAGAGCCCAGAGCACTGGAGGCCCTGCCAGGCTTGCTGCACGCGGCTGGAAAGCACATGTGCATACAAACACTGCCACAAGGCGGGCTTTCTGCACTCCCCGCCTCCTCCTGCACTCAGCTGACTTGGGCAGCTCTGTCCCTGCCTTCCTCCCACCCACTGTCTGCCCGGGCAGTTTCTCCGCAGAACAACACAGCTGCCTTCGCCGGGGTATCACCCGAGACCAGATGCAAACCTGTGTAACCCACTGACCTCTTCCAGGAGACCTAGGCACTCAGCCAAGGCTGAGAACCTTCAATCTCACTCTGATCCCCAATGAGGGGGTGGGAGCAGGTACGGCACCCAAAGGGGAGGTGGGTGCCCAACAGGACCTGCCAAGCCCTTCTGGGAAGGGTGGGTCCTGCCCCCGCGTCCTGCCCCCGCCCCCAACCTGGGTCCTGGCCGTGAGCGCCACTTCCCCACTGACAAGACAGACATCATTGCACAGCCTCAACTCCAGATATTAGAGCACGTCCGTTAACCTTCTAAAAAGAAATGATTGCCCATGATCCGGTGACTTGAGACGCTCTCCAGAGTCTAGGCTCTGCTGAGAACCCTTTTCTCCATCCAGCATCCTAGCCCCTAGCCTGGGCGCACCGAACACCGGGGACCGCTAGAGTTCTAAGCAATTGACAGACTGGGCACCCAGGGGAGCGCCGCGGGAAGTAGGACTTCTGTCAGCCCCCCCCCCCCCGAGGGAGGAGAGGAGAGGAGAGGAAGGTGAGAGGGTGGAGGGAGCTGGAACCCAGGCGGGCGTCGGAGCCGAGCCGTTCTGCAGCTGCCTGGGACTTTGGCCGAGGGGTTGTCGGGACACAGGCCAGCAAGCCTTTCCTCCCGAGCCTCAGGATCGCTTTAGCATAAACTGTCTGAGACTCGCTGGCACGAAGCTTCCCTTCAAACACGGTATTTTACAAGTTGAGAATTCAAGAGGATGTCACAGCAGCTCGCTGGCTCCCAACTCCAAAAAGTATCAAGGAGCCGGACCACGGACCTCCAACCCCCTTGGTGGATGCAGGGGGTGGAGTGACGGGGTTGGTCCAAAACCCCTTCCCCAGGCGAGTGGGCTACTTACGTTTCTGCGGTGGGGGAGACTTTTCCACGCCTTGTCCTGTAGGTTCCTAAATACATTTGTATGCATTTGTCCGTGCAGCAAAGCGCTAACGGAAAACAGAGGCCAGCTCCGAACTGCTAAAGGTGCAGGTACTGTCCATGAAAAGGGGAAAATCACATGAGAACCATGTTCCAACCTGCAACACGGAAGGGGGAGGTGGAGGAGATGAGGCGGTGTAGGGGTGAGGAGCAGCACCCGGAGGGGAGGACAGCTAGGATGCCCGGTGGCTGGCTGCAGCCGGGGTCGCGCTCCTGGGGGAGGACCAGCGGGGAGCGGGGCTGCACCGGGAGGCAGCCGGGCCGCCGGCAACAACTCAGCCCTGGAGTTCACTTGCGGTTCAAAGGAGACTCAGTGACTCCAGTGGAGCCTTCTGCTTTGGGCCTGGGAGGAGAAAGGCGGGGGTGGGGGATGGGGGGGGAGGAAGGAGATGAAGGAGTGGGGGGAGGAAGTCCTTGGGAGCTGCCTGAGCCCGAACATTTGTCAAGCACACACACCCACTTAGGAAATCAAGTCCGTGCAAGGGGGCCAGCGGCAACTGCAGGCGCTCAGCGTTCACTGCTGCCGGCTGCTTCGCCTGAAAGAAGAGGAGCCTAGCAAATCCGGCTGGTGTTAAATTTCACCGCTCACTGACTTGCAATGACATCACCAAGCTGTACACCTCCCCCTCTGCCCCGCAACCTTCCCCCACCCTAGAGCCGGGCTCGCTGCCCCAGTCCACTAACTTCGCAGGGTGGGACTGGGCCGTTAGCACCCAGGACGCACAGTTCACCACCCCGCCACTGCCAGACGCTCTGGTTCCCACTTCTAGGTGACTTAAGCTCATTCCTTCCTCTTCCTGTCCTTGTAGCAGTCCCCTTCGTTTTCACATCGGCCTCTTGCCTGTCTCCCATCTCCAGACTTTTTCTTAGTAATCTTCACCCACACCTGAGAGCCTCCTGCGCCCAGAGAGCCTCTCTCTCTGTCTCTGTCCCTTCTTCCCTCCCTCCCTCTGTCCTTCCCTCCTCGCCCCCCTCGTTTGTTTTGCTTTTACATTTGCAGCCCCTACAGTCTCCTTAACTAAGGGACCCGCTCTCATAGCTACCTTTCCGGCTCTTTTCTTACTGTTCCCTTAACTGTTTCTGAGTTTCTCTCTTTCCTTCTCTCTGGCCTTGACTCAGTTACACATTGGAGCTGTGCAGTCTTGCAAGAGAGTGCACCCTACAGCCTTGCAACTTCCACGCCCTCTCCAATTTTTGTGACAATTCTTTAAGCGCAAGTTATCTTCTGGCAGTCCTATCATACTGAAAATCCCATTTCCTGATTTTTGTCAGTAAAAGGCTCTAAAGGCTCTAAAAGTTCTAATATTACTTGTCTAATTAATAAGTTAGGGACCTGGTATCTATGCTTCACTGGGCTTAATAGCACGTAAAATTGAGGTGTATTGAATGAATGGCTGCAGTCCTTGACAGTGCCATTTCCCCAGGCTTTTCTTGTGTAGTTTGTGGGCCTTCCTCAGCTAACTGACCTTCCACGTGCTGAACAACATCCCACATTGTACCTACTCTAAAGCAAATTCACCATATTGATGACCAAAATGATTGATACGATTCTCACACTTGATCATTTTCTCCAGGACTGTAGACTTTATCTTCTCTCCTTCAGTTTTTAACTTGGCATTTTAAAATGCTGTTGTATTTATAGGAAAGTAGCAAAAGTACTGAGTTGCTGGATGCCCCTCTTCTCCCTTCCCCTCAAACTCTCTAGAAGTTCCTCTGTAAAATGAATGCGTACACACTCATCAGCACTTTGACAGTGGAATCTGTTTCCAAAGAGACTGTTAAACCTAAGAAGAGTGTCAAGGCACATAAAGTAAGCAAAAACCCTGCAGAAGAAAAGGAGGATCCAAAAGCAAACAGGTGGCCGCTTCAGTGTTGTCCTAGTGCATGAATTTATATTTCTCTTCTTAAGAAATCCTATGAAGTAGGCTTTCCCCCCCCCCCCTTTGGTCTTTTTGAGACAGGGTCTCCCTACAGTCCCAGCTCACCACCTGGAACTTGCTATGTAGACCAGGCTGGCCTTGAACTCACATAGATCCACCAGCCTCTGCCTCCCAAGTGCTGGGACTAAAGGGGTGCACCACCACTCCTGGCTTAAGTAGGCATTTTTTTTTTTTTATACGAAGTAGGAAATTAAGGCAGGAAAAAGCTGAATTGCCCAAGATCACAATACTGGTAAGATTTAAAGCAGTTCAGACTGGTTCTGGGTAAAGTTGAAGTTCTCAAAAATTCCTCCTTTCCTTTATGGCCACTCCTGCCTCTTCACTATTCTTCCCAAAAGAAGAGTTTCAAGACATGGAGCTGTGGAAATGGAATGCAGTGTTTTGCCACAGCATGCATGAAGAGGTAAGATTCAATGTATAATAAAAGTGGCGTTTTAAAGCCCTGTAGGAAAAAAGCCCAGCTTTACAAATAGTGCTGGGACAGTCTCAAGTATAAGCAATGTTTTTTTCTTTAGAGGTGAGATCCTTTAAAAATAAAGCAAAGATGAAACAAAAAGGACATATTTATATGTTTATCAAACAGTATTTGTGGGACAGTAGTAGACTGTAATTCTAGTAGTTGGACAGACCAGAGACAGGAAGACAGTGCAGAAGAGTGCGCTGGCCACCCAGTCTACCCAACAGGTGAATGCCAGGTTCAGTGAGACTCTGTTTAAAAAGATAAGGTTGAAAGCCATGGTGGAAGGTATCAGACATTGACTTCTGGCTTCCACACACATACGCACCAGTATGCACATGTGCACACAAACATACATGCACACAAACATATAGTATATACATTTATGTACACAAAGAAGATAATGATTTTTTAAATGTTTATATAGCTAAGGAAAAGCAGATCCATAAAAGAGCTAGGCCTGAGGACAAACAAATGAATAGTTAACTGTAGCCAAGCTTGTATAATTATGCTGGGGGGGAACCACCACTATATTTGAAATATTATGTTGAAAGTTTGTGTCAACAAAATGCCTAATGATTTTTACTCCATAATATGTTAAAGCCAACTGGGGCCCTCTACTGGAATAGTGCTCTGTGAGGGGCAGAATTTATACTTGGAACTAAAAAATAGCAGGATTCCATGCCTCCAGAGATGGGGGCTGGGTCTTTATAGTCAGTGCTCCAAAGACTCATTTACTGATAATCACAATGTCATACAGTCTAAAAAAAAGATTATTCTTTAATTAACAAAAATAATTGGATGACTGGAAGGGGATGACAGAAAACTCACAATCACAGGAACTAGCTACATAGCAACTAACAGGTGTTTAACTCTGGGGACTCTTTAAAAGTACAAAATTGAGTGAGCTGAGATAATAGGGAAACAAAGATTTTGAATTTCAAATGTAAGATAATAGAGAATTTAACCTTTCCATTTTTTTAAAGAATTTTAAAAATTTATGTATCTGTATGTGTGTTTGTGGTGTGTGTGTGTGTGTGTGTGTGTGTGTGTGTGTGTGTGTGTGTGTTTGTGGTGTGTGTGTGTAGTATGTGCAGGTGCCCAAGAAGGCCAGAAGGAGGTGTTGGATCCCCTAGAGCTAGAGTTGTGATACACTGGATCTGGGTGCTGGGAACTGAATTCCAGTTCTCTGGAAGAACAGGAAACACTCTTAACCACCTTAACCACTGACCTAACTCTAGAGTTTTTCATTTGGAAAGCATTTCAATAATTGCTATCCTGTGGAATTAATAAGAACCAAACAAAATGCCTTGCATCTCCCCTGTTTACTTCTATCTTACAAGACTGATTTCCCTCTCTGTAATTATCTCTACAATTTTCCAACAGTTTCCAAGTATTTTAGTATATTTACATGAATACTCATAAAACTGCTACCAACTTTTAAAAAGAACCTAATTAACATAGGAACCAGTAATACAACACCATCATCAACAACCACCCAAGGTCAGATAAGAGTGTATTGTGCATAGTTATCTGCCTGTTGATGGCATGTACGAACTCTGACTCCAACTTATACTTTCTCAGTATTATAAGTTAAAATTCCTCTCCCCTTACTAAGTATGATCTTATCCCTCATAAGATAATTTCTGTTTCACCTTTCCTTACCAATCTGGAGTGAATATAGCACACAGACACGCCCTTTCAAAACAAGATTAATGGGTATATTTTTGAGATATACAAGTGAAAGAGATTTACCCAGATTATGAAATAACATTATTGCAATGGTAGTGGCAATAGTATGAAAGATCATCAAATACCTGGTTTTCCACAGAAACAAAGGAAAGCTTCACTTGTGCCATAGGGGTCTCAGAAGTTAGTAAGGTGGCAGTGAATATCCACAGATCCAGTCACATGATTACAAGACTTTAAAAGCATAAATGGAAAGGATAACCATTTCAACACAGTAAAATTTCAATATAATCTATACCAAAATTTAATTAGTTCCTACAAGGAGATTAAAAACAATATGAATATTTTATATTTACATATTTCAGCCAATCGTATCCGATTATTATAATAATGTGATGATTGCTTGAATTCTGCACAAGGGACAAATGAAGTGTTTGTTTTCCAGTGATGTTGCTGCTGAAGGCAATTTAAGAAACAGAAAGTGGAGTAGAACATATATTTAT